AGTATGTGTTTGTTCCTTTCTAGTCACAAGATGGTGGTCAAACTCCAGTATTGCATTTGAGTTCCAGTTGTAAAGAAAAATAAGGCTTACGGGTAAAAAGCACAGGTCAACTAACTTGGACTTCTTTTTTTAAAAAAATGTGTTTTTATTGATTTCAGAGAGGAAGAGAGAGGGAGAGATAGAAACATCAATGATGAGAAAGAATCACTGATTGGCTGCCTCCTGCATGCCCCCTACTGGGGATCAAGCCTGCAACCTGGGCATGTGCCCTTGTCTGGAATTGAACCCAAGACCCTTCAGTTTGAAGGCCTATGCTCTATCCACGGAGCCAAACCAGCCAGGGCTGGGCTTCCATTTTAAGAAACATACCCAGAAGCCTCATCCAACAACTTTCACTTACATTTCATTGGCCAGAATGGCATAAAATGGTCATTTCCTTCATCTGCAAGGAGTGCTGGGAGATGTAGTTTTTAGCTAGGCACATTTATACCCCACAGCTAGTTTTCCATTACTTATGATCATGGAGAAGCTATATTAGCAAGGCCTTTCACAGTTTAGTCCACCATTCCTGTTCTAGAAATAGGTATCCTCACTCTATGTTTATTACAGCATCATTTATAATAGCCAAGATATGGAAGCAACCCAGGTTCCCATCAACAGACAACTGGATAAAGAAGGTGTAGTACATATACAATGAAATATTACTCAGCCATGAAAATGAATGAAACCTTATCATTTGCACATGGATGGACCTAAAGGGTACTATGCTAAGTGAAATAAGTCAAACAGAGACAAACCATGTGAATCTAAATAAAGAACAAAATCTCAAGAATAAGATAAATGAACAAACAAAACAGATTCTAAAGAACAAAACAGATGAACAAAGCATCCAGAAAGACTCATAGATACAGAGAACAAACTGAGGGTTGCCAGATGGGAAGGGGGTAGGGGAGCTGGCTGAAAAAGGTGAAGGGATTAAGACGTATAAATTTGTAGTTACAAAACTGGTAGTACAAATTGGTAGTCACAGGGATCTAAAGTACAGCATAGGGAAGATATATAGTCCCTAATCTTATATATTAAAGAGCTAATATGCAAATTTGTCAGGACGCTGTCACAGTAACGACCAACCGATCAGCAGGAGGCTGTGTGTGCAACAGGCACGCACAGGTGGGTGGGGCTGGGCTGCTTGCGCAACGGGTCATCAGGAGATGCATGGAGCACCTCTGGGTCCCTCCCTCACCTCCCACAGAAGCAGCGCGGCTCCCTTCCGCCGGCTCCCGCGGAAGCGGCGGGCGGCCTACTGCGTGTAATACAATACGCTAGTATTGTAATAATTATGTATAGTGCCAGGTGAGTACTAGAATTACTGGGGGATCACTTTGTACATTATATAATTGTCTACTAGGCTGTACACCTGAAATTAATATAAAATAATATTGAATATCAATGGTAATTGAAAAATAAAAACTACATATCTTTCACCTTTATTGAGCTGGTGAGAAGCCCCTCTAATTCCCCACCTTGCTCTTCTACAAGGGCTAATAGCAAGTGTGAGCCTCTGAGCTGTGTCAAAGATGAGCGTGGGAAAGGCACATCTATCACTTCAGTTTTACTAGCAAAATTGGCCTTAAATTTTTACCATAAATTTTTCATTTCTTTTATTGTGGAATATCCATTATAATTGGGTTAGACATAAATTTCAGGAGCACTGTTATCACTGTTAAACATCATGTAATTCTTAAAAGACTAGGCTACTAAGACTTGTTTTCAGATTCCAGATCCACGTTTATTAATAGAGTACTTTGGGCAAGACACTCAGTCTATGCCTTAGTTTTCTCATTTGTAAATGGGGATAAGAATTTTTACAAGCAGGATGATCAGGTAATTTATATCCAGACCTGGAAACTTATGTACTGGAAGGGGAACCTATAATAATAAAAGTGTAATATGCTAATTAGACCAGAGGTCCTTCTGGAGGAAGCTGGGGCTGCGAGGAAAGCCCAGGTCCCGGATGCCAGAGGGAAGCCGGTGCCAGCAGCCAGGGGAAGGAAGGCCTCTACTCTTGCATGAGTTTTGTGCACCAGGCCTCTAGTACTATTAATAATTATGCTTGAACAAGAGGCAGAAACCAGTACCACTCAGGCATACCCACGACTATGGTCATCTTACTTGTAGACACTTTTGAGAAGATTAAATGAGAAAATAGATATAAAGCACCTAGCACAGAGCCTGACATACAGTGTTGAGTAAATACTTGCCACAACTTGTTTTTACCATTGAGTTGAAAAGTTCCGTTGTTTCAGCATTGCTTTTTCTCGTTTAACAATATAATAATTGGTATTCTTCCTTACAATGGAGAATAATGGGCTGAGAAAAGAACTTAAGTTTTTGCAAGACTGAGAAAAACCCAATTTAAAATCAAACAACCAACCTCTCTAAAGGAAGAACAACAGTGAAAGACACTGCAGAAATTCCTAGTTAAAAGAAAGATTCTGGAATGACAGTGCGGGTGAACTCTTTGTACCAGTGAGAAGGGGAGAATCAGAATTTTAACAATTTCTGCATTTTGCATTTCTCAAAGGTTTTGGTCTGGGGATCCCTTTACACACTTAAAAATTTTTGAGGACCACAAAGAAGCTTTTCTTTATATGAGTTATATATATTCATGTAGAAATAAAAATTGAGAAAATTTAAAAATATTCACTTAAAACAATAATCCCACCATATATGAATATAAATAACACATTTATTTTCTATTAAAATATATTTGTTATTGTTGATAGTATTACAGACATCTGCAGATCTCTTTATTGCCTGGTTTAGAAATGAAATTAATTTTAATATCTGCCTTTTTATGCAAGTTTGCAATATGTTGTTTTACTGGAAATATATGAACACAATGTTTTTGGAAAAGGGGTGGAATATTAATAACCTTTCAAGATAAGTATGTTTACTCTTTGACACTGTACTAAAACTCCACAATAGTGTCTTAAAGGTTAGTTGTGAAGTGGACTCTGAAATTATATCAATGAAATTTTTGTGCTGTTACATTAGAAACAATCTGTCTTATAGTTTGAATGAATCTTTTACTCATGCTTTTTTGTTGTTGTTAATCCTCACCCGAGAATATTTTTTTCCATTTTTTGAGAGAGAGTGCAAGGGGGAAAGGGGGAGAAAGACAGAGAGAAACATGATGTGAGAGAGACACATCAATTGGTTGCTTCCGGCATGCATCCCAACCAGGGCCCAGGATAGAACCTGCAACCCATGTATGAGCCCTTGACGGGGAATCAAACCCTCAACCCTCCAGTGTGGTGGGCCAATGCTCTAACCCCTGAGCACGCCGGCCAGGGCTACTCATGCTTTTGTAATATTCATTACTCATTTGGAAAGTATTGGTTCACTTCAGAAACCTAATACCTAGAACATTCTAGAAAAATGTGAACACACAAGCACACATTCCATTAGCCATTAGAATGATGATGTCATATTGCCTCTGGAAAACTCCACTATACATTTGTGAAAGAATGAGAGGGAAAAAGATAAATCATAACATTATTATTATGAAAGTAGTCTTGACTATGCTATTCATTGAAAAGGTTTTAGTTTCAGAGCACACTTTAAGAATAGCTGATATGACCTGTTAAAGCCAAAAACTTACCAGCTGCTTTTTTTTAAATATATATTTTTACTGATTTCAGAAAGGAAGGGAGAGGAAGAGAGAGATAGAAACATCAATGATGAGAGAGAATCATTGATTGGCTGCCTCCTGCACACCCCACACTGGGGATCGAGCCAGCATCCCGGGTATATGCCCTTACTGGGAATTGAACCGGTGACCTCTTGGTTCCTGGGTCAAAACCAGGAGACAACCAGCAAAATACTAAAATATAGTCCCAAGTGACAATTTCAAATCTCTTTATATGAAGGCAACTAGACAAGCCTACTAGAAAATAAGATGGCTTCTAATTTAAAAGTCTTTCTCATTTTTGGGAGTTTGAATCCTATTAGCATTTCTGTGCATGTGGGCAAGTATTTGGGGGAGCTCAAAATGCCAGCTGCTTTTAAAACCAGGAAACAACCAGCAAAATACTAAACTATAGTCCCAAGTGACAATTTCAAATTTCTTTATATGAAGGCAACTAGACAAGCCTATTAGAAAATAAGATGGCTTCTAATTTAAAAGTCTTTCTCATTTTTGGGAGTTTGAATCCTATTAGCATTTCTGTGCATGTGGGCAAGTATTTGGGGGAACTCAAAATGCTTCATTTCTTCCTCTTCTCCACATCTCCCCCAAGATAGAATCTTCGTGGAAACATGTAGCTGGCAAACCCCCATTAAAGATATTTTAATACATGTTTTCTGTTTGTAATGTTTGCAAATTTCTATCCATTTACTAAGGATCAAGTTTTCTTTGCAAGAATACGATAGAAGATGACTTCTCAAGTGGAACTGGTTATACATGTGAAGAACTTCTAGATAAATCTTGTATTTTGCTCCTTGTTCTGTTACATCAGGCTTTTCAAAGTAGGATGATAGGGCAGGTTGATCTTTTTTTAAAAAACAACAACAAACAAACAAAAAACCTTGCTAACTAGTTTTAGCAGGAGGCTGGTTATAGGACCTCCACTCAGCAGTTCTCAGCCAAGGAGAAACTTGTTTTGGGCATCCTGCCCCCTAGCTTCTCAGTTTCCCAATGCCCTCATACCACTTCCTTTTGGCTGCATAGTAGGTCTACCCTCTTAAGAAATGCTTTGACTTCTAGATTACCGCTTTGCCTCCTCTTCTATCCTTCAGCAACAAACACCCTTTGTATTCATTTCTTTTCATTTAAGTCTGGTCTTCGATCAGTCCAGTTTGAGATACAGTGTTGGTGGATGTGATAATTAAAATTATTTACACTAAGGTCTGAAGGAGGGCTAGATACCAGATGTTTAAGAACTAAGAACCGACTAATGGTCTGAACAAAACAATCTGCAAAGGGGTGACAACATGTAGCCAATTGAATGGACCTAACTTTTATTTTCAACAAACCATATTGAAAGCCAGTAAGCCATTTAGATTTTTAACCCAATTATTCAAAGTGTCCAATCTATAAATAACAAGCAAGCCTGGTAAGGCAAGAAATGAACCCTGCTGGCTTGGCCCCATGGTTGAGCTTGACCGATGAACCGAGAGGTCACGGTTTGATTCTCAGCAGCAGGACATGCCGGGGTTTACGGGCTCCATCTGCGGGAGAGGGGCGTGCGGGAGGCAGCCATCCGGGATTCTCCCTCATCATTGATGTCTCTCTCTCTCTCTCTCCCCCTTCCTCTCTGAAATCAATAAAAATATTTTTAAAATATCTTACACTCCCCCTCCCGCCCCCCAAAAAGACGACGAATGAGACGCGAGGTTCCCGAATGGCTACTCTGTGACAGCCGCACGGATTAGGTATCAAGGAAAAAGCGGGGGAAGTGCCCAGAGGGCAGACCTCTCTGGAGCAAGATGTTCCGACTTCAAGGTCGTTGGTAATGATCCTGATATTTCTTAGTAGCCCCTTTTGACGTTTCATTTATTCCCCGGATTAGTTTTAGGCTTTTTAAAAAAAATATAAAGTAAATTTCAGTGCTTATGAAAGCTAGACACAGTGATCTCCAAGTGTGTTTTCAGGGTAAGATGTGGCCTCGGGTTTGGGCGGACGTGAGGCCACGGCAGCCCACGGACCTTCGCTCTCCTTGGCAGGCGCCGTTCGGCGCTCAGCTGTCCCCACCCCGGGGTTGGCGGAGGGGAGATGCTGGGTAACTACCGAGCCCACAGGCCCGCGAACGGCATGTTCCCCGTCAAAGTCTTCCGGTTCTGGCCTCTCGCCCCGACCTCTGGCCGGCAGGCAGGCAGGCAGGCGGTGTGGTGCGGCGCCTGCGGAGGG